CACATTTAAGTAGGTCAGCAGTTGTAACATTCCAATATACTTGCAAAAATTATTCTGAAATTGAAATATCGAACAAGAAACTGCGCTGCAGTTTCTGGTCTCGAACAAGAAACTGCACTGCAGTTTCTGGTCAAAATCTGCACTGCTGCTCAAAAGGTAAAGGCATAATCAAAGTACTAAAACTAATATCAAATCACATTTAAGTAGGTCAGCAGTTGTAACATTCCAATATACTTGCAAAAATTATTCTGAAATTGAATTATCGAACAAGAAACTGCACTGCAGTTTCTGGTCTCGAACAAGAAACTGCAGACAGATGTAGTTTATGACAGAAAATCAAAACAATTCGAATAGAAACCAAAAGGAAACCACGATAAAAGTACTAAAACTAAATTCCATAAACATACAAGTCGACATAATCGAAAACAGGTTCTAAAGTACTCATACCTCAAAACTTAGGACTGCCAAAAATCTCCACAACCAAACAGCAGCTTAAAATCAAATCTGATCACGAAACGAAGAATATAGGGTTTAGCATTGAACGCCACAAGATCGCGCCGCAAAATCGAGCCACAAAACTGAGCTCGAAATACCCGAACTAAAGAGAACAGAAATCACCCAAAACTGACAGTCATTCAGCATGAAAATCGAACGAAAACGTAGCAGAAAAAGGAAGACAGAAAAACGAAGAAAATAAAAGCAAAACCTACAAGAAAATTGAGCTCCAATGGCAGAACCCAGCTCTGAAACGAAGAAGAAAACGAACGAAAGAGAAGAACTCGCGCGTCGTTTAAACGTTGAGAGGCAAAAGCGTCATTTAATTTGTAGGTTTACAGATGGGCCAGGCTTTTTAAGAGAAAAGGGTAGAATTGTCTTTTTATTTGACATTTTTAAGCTGGCCCAACGAATCTGGGCCAGCCTTGGGCCTAATCTAAAATAGCTATTTTTTATTGAGTATTAAAACCCAAACTAAAATACCTAATATCTCACTTCCTAATTAGTAAACTTAATTATGTCTAATACCTAATTTTCCTAAAAAACCAAGACATAACAATATAATTAAAACTCTCACAAAAAAAAAGTGGAAAGCTTTTACAAAAGGGAGGTGAAAAACTCTCACAAAATGAGAGGTGAAAACTACACAGAAAACCTAGAGAGTCTCTGCGGCTTATTTCAAACATGAATAAACCGCAAAAAAAGGATGGTGATAAAGATTAGATTTAACACCGAAATGCAAGTAGAGATCTGACGCCGAGACAGGTAGATCCTTGTTCTTTAAAATTCAAATCAAATTATATGTTACTATGTACACGGGCCAATGGTATCAAACAAAAAGTCGTGAAAGGAAAAACAATAGGGGTTAAATTGAAAATTTGGGTAAAATTAGGAGACAAGATTGAAATTTGCTTGCCCATTTTTCCTGAAAGTGAATTGCAAGCAAACTGCAAAACCATGGCAAAAAGGAAGCGGCTATGGCTCTGCCACGAGGTTGAATTTACCATATATTTACATAAACGAATTGAATTGATAAACCCCTCTGAACTCACTCCTTCACTCCAATTCCATGGCCATGCCAACAGAAAATTAAACAATCACAAACAAAACATCGATTGAAAATCATCAAATTCCAAAACCAATGGACCACTACAAGGTTCTGGGGTTGCCAAGGAGCGCGAGCAAAGAAGAAATCAAGGAAGCATTCAGGAAACTGGCGGTGAAGCTGCACCCAGACAAGCACTCCCACTCCCCCAAGGCCGTGAGGGAGAGCACCACCCTCAGATTCAAGCAGGTCTCCGAGGCCTACCAGGTCCTCATCGACGATCGCAAGCGCGCCGACTATAATTTCCGGAGCTCTCGCTCCCACAATTACAATGCAAATACTAGTAATTACAGCCATGGTTATGGTTATGGTTATAGTGCTACCAATTATGGAGGCAAGTACAGACGAGCCTCCTCTGGAGGCTCTGGAGCTTCCTCTGCGTTTGAGAATGTGCTTCGCTATGTCACGACGCGAGCGTTTCTTCTGAATCTCTCCGTTGCAGGGTATTGTTGTGTATTTTCCATGGTTAATTTTTACGAGTGAATTGATGGTTGCAATTGAGAAATGTATGAATATACATGGTTGGTTTTTGTTCATTTTGATTTCTCTGACTGGTAAACATGTTGCAAAGGTATCTGATTTGTTCAGTTGTTATGGAATTTAGATTGTAATTTGTATCAATTTGTGATCATGGGTTTTAGATGTTAACAAAGTGCCTACTTGGCCTGGTATTTTCTAGTCTAGTTAGTTTCAATTTTGTGCTAATTGTAATGATGAATGCTATAAGAAAAACATACCTATTAGCTAATGATGCAAACATGTCAGTACTTTTAACGATACCCAAATCTTCTTATATATAAGATTTTTGGTATGTTCTCTCTTTGGAAATTTTTCATTGGTAGATGAATTTTATGCAGGGCTTTCTTAGGCGGCATGGTCGTTGTTAATAGGGGCTGGGATGCTCTATGGAAGATGCATAATGCTGAGGTACGTTGCTCTTTTTTTCCCCCCTCTCACCCTGGAATTCCTCTCTTCCGGGTTTTATTTTTTAAATGCTTGCTTTCACTATTTTGTGGTCATACAATCTTCCGGGTGGGGACATGTGGTATGTAATATGATTTATAGAAACCGAACCTAAGACCAATCTTGATCCTAATTTCAACCATTGTTCTCTGATTCATTTGGCTTACCTAAATGAACAAAAGAAGGGACCCTTCAGGGTGCAAGCTATATAAATCCTTCCTAGAAACCATAGCGAGTTTGATAACTGTCATATTGTATTCTTTTTGTGCACTTTTGATTATTAAGATGAAATGCAAATTCAAAAAGTAAATGTAGAGGCATGCACAATCAAAATTTGCTTATATTAGCTCCAGCAGGCACACATGTGGTTGCTTTGTTAGTGCTGTTGATTTTGAACTACTTTCAGTTGGTTTCTCGTAAACCTTGTCTAACAGTAATTGAGACCTGAGATGCCTACTGGAGCTTCTTTTTTTTTTTTTTTCGTTACTGAACTTTAAATACATTTACTTTATTGGGGAATGCCCTACTTGGTCATTTTGAAATCATACCAGGGATATAATGCAGAATGAATGTTCTCCAAGATTGTTTCATTGACAAGCTTTCATTTGCATTCAGAAATCATTTGAAGAAACAATGAGATCCCTTGAAAGATCCAAAGCACGTAAAGAGAAGCCATAGAAGGTGGCCATTAAACCTAGTTTGCCTTCTTCTTATTGTACTTAGAAGTCCTCTTGGTCAAATCACCACATTTGTGTGCAGATAAAAGCAAAAAGTTCTCATTAGTTTATGAGGACAGAGTATGTCGCTTTATAAGTTTTTTCTTGTGAAACAATAATGTATTTGTTCATGTACATAAAAAAATAATTACAATAAATGGAACATTTTAAGTATCATGTATTCAGGTTATGGATCATAGATATTTTCCTGATGTATACACACACATCCACACAACCACAGTAATCACTCCATTACATTTTATTATAAGTTTATTAAAATTGTTATATTTATGTATGAAACAGAGTCCTTTTTTTGTCCAGGTAAAAGCAAAGAGCTCTTACTGGTTTTTGAAGATGGAGTATGTTGCTTTTAAAGTATTTGTGTAATCTGTCTATACTTGATTCAGTATTTCTTTCTGGGTGTTGATTTTTTTCTCTTTCTGAAGAATAATGCGCTTTGTTCATGTGGACATATATTACAATGATTGGAATTCTTCAATTGTCATGTTATTCAAGTTATGTATCATAAAAATTTCTTGATGCATCAATAAACTCACACATCCACACAAGCACATTAACATGTCCCTTGCATGTAATGATAAGCACAGTTATTTTGGTAAAATAACTTGAAATGTTAAAAGTATTATACATAAAACAAAAGAAAAATAAATCAAGTTGTATAAATACTTTTAGTTGGAGTTTTGAATATTGAGTTTTTATTAAATGTTATTCTCAACCCTTCTTTCTAGTTTGGCACAAAAGGAAAGCTTTGTTCTCTTACTTTTCATTTTTTAACGAATAAGGATCTGCATATTTCTTTAATCTCTCTTCTTTTCCTTAAAGCCTCTCTATGTTACATTCTGATTTTCTTTTTTCTATTTTTGCCTGTTATGATGGTTTCTGTTTATTTGGATTTTGGTTTGTTCCTGAAGAAGAAGGAAACAGGTAGAGGGCCTATTTCTCAAGATAATCTGAGATGGGTTCTCTTAGATCCAGGAAAACCTAAGTTTTTTTTTAAATTTTTAATTTTTAATATAACCAGGAATCCACCAATCTGCATTGCGGACTCAGCTTTGAAACTGGGCCCCCCGCCAAGCCCTACAATCTTTTGGGAGGCAGGAAACACTAGAAAATTGCTAGTTATAGCTTTGGGGGCTTTTGAACCTCAGACCACACGGGAGCAAACCATGAGCCTGACTGTTCCAACTGACCCGCGTTGGTGGTTTTCTTGTGATTATCAGAGTTGGTTTATTTTTTCCTAGTTTCTTTCTGATTAACCCTTTTGCTTTACTCTCTTGAATTTGTGGATAAAGGTTGGGTTGTAGTCGTTTTCATATGCTTATGTAGTCATATGTATATTTAAGGGTGCTCAACAAGAAAAAAGGGTTAGTGCAGAGGATAGGATTTCGGTATATGCTGGTTGATTATCTGCTAGAAGGAGAAGGATTTGGTTGGCTCTTGCTAAGAAATTAAATTTAGCTGTGAAGTCAAGCCTTCAATTTTTTAATTTTTTTAAAATCATTGGGAGGTTAAATCGATTCTGATGATTCCATTTCTTACTGCTGCTCATGTTTTATTTTATTGTGATGACATAATCTGTTTATAATGTTATTACATTTGTGTGAGGATTGGTGTACCAGTGATATAGCAAAAGAGGGGATATTGAAAGATATTTGAGGTGGATAAAAATTTGAGCTTACTGATCAAATGTTACAGAGAGAAGAAAATGGATAGAACACATGCTCAAGCTAGTAACAGGCCCTGGGAATTTGTTGTCAGATTCCGCTGAGGTGGTGCCTTGAAAATATGTTTCCTTCAGCAAAGGAAGTTTCAACAATACTGGTATTGAAGTTAGTATGTTGACCATGTAATCAGAAGAAGATAATTCTGAAGAAGCTGATTTGTTGATGCTCCAGAGTATGGAAACTGTTCTATTTCTAGTGATGCTCTGGTTCTGGAAAAGTGAGGAAGACGAAATCTGATGGAAATTTTAGTGGCTTCAGTTGCTAACATGAGAGGTTGGGTCTGTAATAAGCTTGCCGGATGTTGTGGAGATTGGAAATGCGGCGACGGTCAGATTGTTGGAAAGGCTATTGTGTTGGCAGAATCAACTTTTGGGCAAGTGCCTTCTGATGAACTCACCAAGGAGGCAGTAAGCTGAGGATGGAGTTATCTAGTAAGTCTGAATTAATAGCCTCTAGTTTTTTTTTTTCAGTCAAATGGGGGAAAAGAATGTCTGCATAGCAGGTAGCTGGAGTGTTCTGAGCTGGGCTATATATTCCCCTTCGAGCTTTTGTATCAGGAATATTTCAAGTAAAATTCTTATTGGCAATGTTGTGATTAATGGAATGAGCCAAACTTTGAGCTACCTAACCAGTAATTTTTTGGCTTTATGATGGCAATTGGGGTTCCCAGGTTGTTTTTCTCAGATCCTTTTCAAATGTAGAACTCTGCATGTTGCTTTGATTCTAGAAATGAGTAGACTTCATTTGATTGCAGAGTTTTGGTGGCTCTGGATCTCAGATTTGACAAAAAATTACATTAAGATAAAATAAATAAAAAAGATGGGATAGAAGGGCTGACCACTGTGAAGGGAGTGGAGTCTTTATTTTATATTGACGTCACAATTTAATATATCGGTTAAAGATGCTCTAATTACCTTACCTACCATATTTACATGAACAATAATAGCAACAAACAACCGCAAAGTTCAGATTCCGAAGAAATAACAGTTGGTAGATTTAGATACCAATAGATTAGCCTCTCCTCTCCTCTCCTCTCTCCTCCCCTCTCTGTTGTTCTTGCCCAATTCCTTGCTGTTGAGCTTCAGTTTGCTCAGTCTTCGTTGGCTCTGCTACAAGCTTCCCAACATTGGGATATTTTTCAATGAATTTATCTTCCCAGTCCTGTAAAATCTCAAGTTCATCGGGACCAAGACCTTCAATGTTGCCATTTATGTCTTGGGGTTTGAAGGATAGAAGTGCTAAAGCTCTGCTAGCATCTCTTCCAGCAAACATTGCGTACGGTCCCCCAGGACCATAAAAATTCCTGCATGTTGTAAGGGCCACAAAATTCACTCAGTCCAATAAATTCAAAAATAAACCACAAAACCTAACTTGAAAAATAAAATTAGCAACACGTGTGGGGTGAATTATGCCAGTTGGCCAGTACACATTTGCAATTTCTATCCAAAATCCACGACACATTACAATTTCTATCCGGCAAACTACCTGGAGGAAGAGACGTCATAGATCTGAGCTCTGATGGCCATGAGCAGAGGCTTATTGGGATCAGAACCATCAAAGCCTCTCAATTGTTGCTCCGTCATGTCTCCCATTTGCGTCGGAGTTGTGGTGGTGGTTTGGTTGAGATTCAAGTACTTGTTAACCAAATTGGAATCGGTGCCGATGCTCGCCGCCACGGGAGGCTTGTTGTAGTCTTCGGGCCCCACAAACATTGCGCTGACAATTCTGTAAACCACAACCATCATCCCTGCGATTGTGAAGAAGGCCGCCGGTGAAAGTCCCGTGTACAACGTTATCTCCTCCATCACTGCCCCGTATATTCCTCCTCCCATTTCTTCTCTCTTTTTCGTCTTCTTCTTCTAATTTCTCTGTTTTTATGTATATAGATTCAATTCTTCTACTTCACCTACCAATTCAAAGTTCACCTACCTCTTTCTTTTTTTTTTTTTTTTTTTTTTTTTTTTTTTTTTTTTTGGGTTTCTTCAATATATATGTTTTTTCTTTGCATAATTAACCCGGTCAGTCCATCAATATACTTCATACTATTGTAAAAAAAGTGTTGGATCTCACATAAAAAAAGAAGGAAGTAATATTTAAAAAGCTTAATGATGATGTTGGATAATATTTGAAAGAGATTTTCTATTTAAACTTCGTACTTCTCTTTGTTCATCCCAATACTTAAATTATTAAATTGTAAGTTTAATTATTGTGTAAAAAGACAATAAATGTCATCCAACTTAATAATTAACCCTAGTACATTTATACACTCTATACACCCCACCACTCTTCATATTAAGTTTTAAAAACCTTATTCCTTCATGTTTACAAACTCTCTCTCTTTCTCTCTCTCTCAACAATACCCAAGTGTTAAAATTCTAGTTTCATTTGTTTGTGTTTTTTTTTGCTGTGAACAAAGAAAATTGTGAGGTTTAAATAGAAAATCTATTTTAGCTCTTTTTTTCCTTTTTCTTTTTTTTAGTTTGAGGTGTATTTAAGGGTAATTTGGGAAGATAGTAGGGTTTTCTTAGAAATTGTGAAAATTTAAATTAAAAGTTGAGGTGAACTAAGAGAAATGTGGAGTTTAAATAGAAAATATCTAATTTGAAAAGTTTAATGATGATGTTGGAAGCCATCCAATTTGCTTATAAATAGGCTTTTTATTGTTTAGCAAAACACACCAAAAAAATGAGAGGAAAGAAAAATAGAGAAGGAAGGGAGATTGAGAGGAAAGAAGAGAGAGTGTGAAATCTTGAAAAGTAGAAATTAGATTGTTTAACACATTAATGGTATTGTTTTAAGTGAAGGAAAGTGAAACATGTAAGAGGAGAATAAAGAAGATTTAGAAGAGAAAGAAGGTTGATAATATTTCTCGAAAGTTAAAAGGCTTTGAAAAAAAATAAAAAGTCAAATTAAAAGGGGAAAATAAGTGAAATTAGAAGGGGAAGACACTCTAACAGAGATGAGCGAGAGAGAGGACGACTGAGCGTGAGCGAGAGAGAGAGAGGGATTCAGAGAAACAGAGAGTGGGAGAGAGGCTCGCAGAGTAGTTTGGTGCCAAGTTGCACGCTTGCAGATGAACAAGAACTTCCTTGCTGCTCTGTTGGGGTGACCATCTGAAGTGAGAGGTTGGTGGTCTGAAATGGCGGTAGAGTTAAAATGACTACAGATCTAATTATTGAGATGGTTCGCCCGAAGGCTGAAAAGGTGTAATGCTAACAATTGAAATTTCACTTGTATACATTTTTGCTTTCTAGGGTTTGCGGCATGGTTCTCATGGAGGGGAATCTGGGTGCTCTGCAATTGCTTATGCCTCTGATTGTTTGCCTTCTGCTCGGTGGATGCGCTTCACATAGGGTAAGAAATTATGATGAACCATGTAGTTTAATTTTTCATTTTTTCAACTTGAAGAGTTAAGATGATTTACATTGTGGATCCATTTATTGATGCCTCGCTCTCATTCGTTAGGTATATAATGAGTCGATTCATAGGCAATTGGTTGCTCCTGGAACTGAAGAAAATAAAGGTGTGAGTAACCCTTTTAACTTCAAGTGCTAAATTTTGTGTTGAGCCATCCTAATTATTTTTTGAAAGCCACTTTTTGGCTTTATCCTAATTATTTTAAAGTTTCTTTACCATTGGATGCTTCCTTAATCTCTCTTTTTTTCTTCTTTTAAATGTCATCACCAATGCCTTTTGATAAGTGCTTTGTTTGAGTTGTTTGCATCTCTCTCTTTCTGGAATTTCTTAATAATATGAATCCTAGGTTAAGCGTTAAGTGGTGCTCTCTGTGTGTGGGTTTTTATAAATTTTATCACCATTCAAAATAAAAAGCATCTCTCCGAATTCTAACAATGTGTTTGGATGAGGGAGTTTAAGAGTACTAAGGGAATTCAGGACGATGGAATCTAAAAAAGATGGAATTTATTTTTAGAATTTATGAACTTTCTTCTTTTGCTAACCTGCTAAGCATAACAGAATTTGATGTTTATCTTTATGGAGGTATCAATATATGTAAATGAGTGGTGGTGACAGTTGTGGAAATGGTGGTGGCAACAAAGGCGGGAGTGATGGCAGTGCTAGAGTCAGAGAGGGTGGTTGGAGTGAGGTGGCGATGGTAGTAGTGTGGTGGCGGTTTCAGTGCCAGTGATGATGGCGACGACAGCGGTAATGGCACCAATGATTGTGGAGGTAGGATGGTGGTGGTAATGGCAATGACAAAGTGATGACAGCGGTGATGATGGTGGTGGTTGTTGTAGCTTTATTTCTCAAAATCTCTCATAATTTTGAGAGTTTAGAAATGGCACCTAATTTGGTGTTACCTTATGTTTGGATTTATGACTCCCAAACTCCCAAGTTTCTTTTTCATGTGAATATTGATTTTCTTATGACCCCAAACAAGGAAATTACTAATTAGTATATGTTATTTCAGAAATCCTGACTTTTATCTCAATTTCAAGTTTGTTTTTTCCATCCAAAAAGATCCTAATGCAGCTCCCAATAGAAAACCAAGAGCAATTAGACTCTAATAATCCATTGTCCTTACCTTCAAAATGTTTTCAAGGTCTTTTGTGCTGAACAAAAGTTATTGGATCACAAAAACAAAAACATTTCAGACGTCTGGTAGTAGCTGATTATGCTTCATTGCTTTTACTGATGAAAAAAGCACATCATTTTCTTTGCCCGTTAGCAAGAACTAAGAGCAAGGCATTCAATTTTATGTTACCTATATAGAACACTTGGTACTGTGATGGCTGAGGTCTGAAATGCATAAAACTGCTATAGAGGATACTTATGATATAGAAATTCAGCTTAGCTATGGAAGGCACCAGAACACACATATAATTTTTCTGTTGAAAAGAATAATCATTATGCTCCTGAAACTGATAGTGTACGTTTATACCATGCAATTAAAAGGTGTGAATATGCTGTTCCCTCATAAGCTGATTTAATGTGCCTTATTTTTTACAGCATGCTGGTAATGTGTGTGTTGATAATATAGATTGCGTTAGAGTCTTTATCAGTTTGTAATCGAGCTATTATGTTAACATTGTAATTCTTTTTGAACAGCACCATGCCCCAGTGGTTGGATTCTTGGACCCGATAAGCGGAAGTGCTTTGGTTATATGAGCAGCCGCCAGCCTTGGAACGAGTCAGAAACCCGTTGTAAAAGTTATAATGGAAACTTAGCAGCATTCAAAACATCTCAAGAACTGGCCTTTGCTCAGAATCTATGTGCTGAAACCATCAGTGGCTGCTGGGTAGGGGGAAGAGGTGTCAACTCTACTATTGGTCTTGGTTGGAATTGGTCCGATAATACTTCATATTGGAATGAGTCTCTCTTTCCTGGGGAACCCCTTCAATCCATTTGCAGTAACATCTCTTGTCACACCAATAGTTCTATTGATGTATGTATATTGGTTACTAATGGATCCAGATCCCTCTTGGTTGAAAGATGCAACATGTCTCATGCTTTTATATGCATGGTTGATTTAGGTATATATTCTGTCACATCCAAGTCATTGTGCACTTCAATCTTGCATTACCTATCCAGCTAATTTTAATGTTGTCCCTGTTTCTTTCAGGGAACACATGTTACCACATGCATTGCCACAGAGAATATCTTATCATCCTTGGAGTTGTAAGTGGGTTGATTCTCTTCACAACATTAGCTGTAGTGATTTGGCTTCTTGCATACAAGCGGAGCAAGAAGCGCAGACGTTCCCGCAGACTTTCTAATCCAGCAGCTACTGCATTAGTCCCTCCATCATGGAAGGTCTTCATGAAAGAAGAACTAAGGTCAATTACAAAGAACTTTAGTGAAGGAAACCGTCTTCTGGGAGATGCCAAGACAGGAGGAACATACAGTGGGCTTCTTCCTGATGGTTCAAGGGTGGCAGTTAAGAGGTTGAAGAGATCTAGTTTTCAAAGGAAAAAGGAGTTTTACTCTGAAATTGGAAGAGTTGCAAAGCTTCACCATCCAAATTTGGTGGCTGTGAAAGGCTGCTGTTACGATCATGGTGATCGCTACATAGTTTATGAGTTCATCATTAACGGGCCCTTAGATAAATGGCTGCACCACATACCTAGGGGTGGTCGGAGCTTAGATTGGGGAATGAGAATGAAAATTGCAACGACTCTTGCACAAGGAATTGCGTAAGTTATACAATACTTTCCCTTGTAGTCTTATTAGGTAAAAACCAAACATCTAAAATCTGACTGATTCTTGCTTCAGTGGATATTTCCAATGGGTGCTTTTTTCCTTATTCTTTAAAAAAAAAAATGATAGTTTCATTTCTAATAATTATGAACAATTTCAGTCCTCACTAAATTTCTAAGCTCGCCACCGTCCAAGTGACCTTGTTAGCAACATTTCTGAAGGCAAGTCTCCTCTTTATGCCTGTTACCATAGTTCTTTTGGTTAATGTGTTCTCAAATCGCCTTGTACACACCATAGACAATTTTCTTGAAGCTACTTTGATATTATATTTGAACTGTGTCTTAAATATCTCAGATGAGCATTTGTTAAATTTTGTATGATAAGAGGCGTTTTGGAAGAAAAACAATATATTATGAAGTGGAAGGTTTGTTCCCAAGGGCTCTAACTTTTTGGCCAGAATTTGTGTGCCCAAATTTGGAAAGACCAGGAACAAACCTATCTTCAAGTTGGCCCTGCTGGACATCATTGTTATGATTGTAATGGTTTCATCCATTGTTTTTGTTCTTGTAGAGGTCCTTCTGTTAATTTTTATGATGCTTTCGCTTGTAACTGTGTGCTTCATGTCTGGATAGGATTTGAATGGTGAACAATGAATTGTGTTTAATTGGTGTTTCACCTGTTAATATGTTAAAACAGGTTCCTGCATGACAAAGTGAAGCCGCATGTTGTGCATCGTGATATCCGTGCCAGTAATGTACTGCTTGATGAAGATTTTGGAGCACATCTAATGGGGGTTGGTCTCTCAAAGTTTGTGCCATATGAAGTGATGCATGAGAGGACAGTGATGGCTGGTGGCACATATGGATACCTGGCTCCAGAATTTGTCTACAGAAATGAGCTTACAACCAAGAGTGATGTTTATAGTTTTGGTGTGCTGCTGCTTGAAATTGTGAGTGGGCGTAGACCAGCGCAGGCTGTTGATCCAGTCGGTTGGCAGAGTATTTTTGAGTGGGCAACGCCTCTGGTGCAGGCTCATCGCTACCTAGATCTCCTGGATCCTCATATAACCCCTTCTTCTCCGGATATCCCGGAGGCCGGTGTGATTCAAAAGGTGGTGGACCTTGTTTATGCTTGTACGCAACATGTGCCATCAATGCGCCCAAGGATGTCTCATGTTGTTCATCAACTTCAACAGTTAGCCCAGGTTCCCATTCTAAAATAGTTTAAGTGAGTTTCGGGCTTGGTATTTATGTATACAGTGCAAGTAATGAGAATTTGTTGTAGTGTTTATTCTCCAGTTGTTAGGGGCCATATGACCAACTAGGGTAAAGCTCGTAGCCAGAATGTAGGGTTTAGGGTTTAGCACACTCAAGGCCATAAGACCCTAGAGTGTAGCACTACTAAGTGGCTGATGTAGTCGTCAGACTGACAATTGCAATCCAATCGGTAATTTAATTGATAATATCTGTCTGTATTGAAATAAAACAAATGGTAGTTGTAATTTGGTCTGAAACGGGCTGAGTCAAAATTGCAAAGTTTTCTCAATTAATATGTGCACTCCACGCCTTTATTTATTGAAATCCTTATGTATTTTTGTTAGTTTGAATGCACATAATAGATCCCGTTCGGAATCGGATTTGGATCCGATCCTCTGTGTTGATTTTTTCTACTAGTATCTACTTGACTTTTGCTCTCCATACGCAACATCCTTAAAAATTTGATTTTATTTGCACCTCATTATTTGCTCTTTTAATCCTATACTAATTTTAAACATGAATAACTTATTTTATTCTTACACATAAGTACAATTAAGGACAAAATATTTAAAATAAAAATTAAATTTGCTCACTACACCTCCTAGTAGGGGCATTTTTAACTCTAATAACTTGGTGTTTATCTCAAAAGCCTGGGAAGTTGGTGAGCCGTGTGATGGGAAACCCTCCCGCACGGTTCAGAGAGCATTGAATTAGAATAAGAGGTTCACCACCGCATCATCGCATGCCCTTTTCTTGCTTCTTTCTCATGTAGTAAGTATTGTAAATAGGTAGCTAAGATAAGTCATTCCATCCGTTCCTGCAACTCTAGTTAGACTTTTTTCTCAAACCATCATGTTCCTACAACCCTAATAAGGTTTATATACTTATATTGGTGAAAACATATATAGTATTTATTCATGAAGGGTGAGGTTGAAGTTAGAGAGGCTTCAAATGAGATATAAGTTTATTTTTTGGTGTTTTTCTAGTTTAGGGCTGCATGGTGGTTGTTGGTTACATGTAGCACACCAGTACCAAACGCAACAGGAAAATTCGGTGGCATGCCATTGAAACATTGAACCTATTTCGGTTGTGTTTGATAAGCCGTTAACTTAAGATGCGGTGGAGATCCACAGTAACGTGGAAAGGGCTTCGATGATATATGATCGACTTTTACCTATCATTCAGTGGCGAGGAACCAAAATATATTTGTTTTTTAGTAACTTATTGTCGACCACAAATTTAATTCTAGTTATTTTGACCTTATTCTTATTGAATGAACAAAAACAAGGTGACGCTGCTATTAAAGGCAACAATGTTGGAACAAAATGTGTAATGGATTATAGTGATCAATTCACAACTTATTTGGTACATAGCCATGTTGTTTAGGAGTATTTTCAAAATTATTCATTTGTGGGGTGACTTTCTGAAGAGGAGAATGCCTTATTGGTGGACATGTCCAGGGGTGGATTCACATAGGTGCAAGAGGGGTTAATTGACCCATGCAAGCCCAGAATTCACCATTGGAGGCGAAGATGTTGACCCATGCAAATTGTCCACAAACTGCTTGATGAAATGCTCCAGACGTCAAAACGATGACGTTGTACAGATTACCTTATTTCCATTTTCATCATTTAAGTAAATGTCTTTGTCCTTTTACTTTCATTTATTTTTATATTACTCCATTTACTTAAATTTACAATGTAAATAAGGAAGTACCCCCCATTTGGATTCAAATAAAAATACTAGAAAATCAAATTCGCACCAAATCAAAATATGAAAAATCGGTTTTAGTGCAAAATATGATCTAGGCTGAAAATGATGGCTCATTAAGTCAATATATACATCACACTAAAATCCCATAAAATCAAGTTTTCTTATTTGATGTGTAAGGAATAAAAGCCGCCAAAAATTATCTTGAGAAAATGATTATTCCGAAAAACCATTTTTCATACTTGGCCAATATTTTTACATAAATTTTTTTTTCATGAAGCCTTAGAAGTTCAATCCACAAAGAGTTTTACTAAGGTCAATCTAGATAAAAAGCCTTAGATGTTCAATCCACGAAGAGTTTTACAAGAATAACCTAACTCTTACGTATTGAAGAAATATTTGCTTGAATAAGCTCCCCCTATTACGGTACTCATAAGGGTCCAAAGTTTGAGAGTTAGAGTCTAAAAGAAATGCAGATAAAGCCCAAAATCAAAATAACGACGGACTTAAAAAATGACATAAATGCCCTAAAATGAGCAGGATTGTGCTAATATATGCCAACTCTTATGTCGAATAGGACAAGATGCCTTAGGATGAGGCGCCTTGGGAGGTGAAAGGATTGAACTAATTTTTTTGTTTATTATCACATTCTTAGATATATTTCTTGTTTATTGCAGTGTGTGTCTATTTTTTGAAGTTGATACAGTTCTCTTTGATAATGAACAAGAGTATTTTGTATGGTTTTATCTATTAACTATGAATTAGAATATTATCATTTCATTTTGATGGGTCTATGTCATATAGAATTTTTTTAACTTTTTACACATTGACCCTTAGAATGAAAATTCCTGGATCCGCCATTGGACATGTCTAAGAGTTTGGTGAAACCCACAGATATTTTGGTCACCCTAAAGGATAGAGATGCAATGAATGTTTCAACTATGAAAACAATATACAATGCTAGGATTGGAAATATAACCAAAGAATTTGCTAGGAGAACATAGATGCAATAATTGCTTACTAAGTTGTCCAAACACAATTATATTGAGTGGCATAGGTCATCTGGTGAAACTGTAACTGACTTGTTTTGGACACACCCCATTAATATTGAGATTTTGCATGCATTTCCACATGTACTTATCATGGATTGCACTTATAAGACTAATAGGTAGCGTTTCCCACTATTGCAAATTGTGGGGTGACATCTACTAATATGACATTCTCGGGTGCGTATGTATATATTAATCCCAAGAAGGAAGATAATTACACATGGAGTTTGACTAGATTGAAGAGTGTATAATTGTCTTCATGGTGTTAGTACTTATGAATTCTATTACATATATATTTCCAAAAGCACGACATTTATTATGTAGATGGCATATTAACACAGGAGTGTTGGCAAATTGCAAGAAGTTATTTGGGACCCTCAAACAATGGGAGCAATTTAGTGGGGATTGGAATACTTTGGTTGGTTCAGAAACGGAGGAGGAATATTAGTATTGTTTGCGACAAATTGAGTCTAAGTTTAGTGAATTTCAATACATACATGACAATTGGTTAAATATATTTAAGGATAGGTTTGTGGATGCATGGACGTACACTTTTATGCATCTTGAATCAACGACCTCAAATAGGTAAGTATTTTAGTCCACTTTTGATAGGTTAATTTGATAATTTATTTTGCTTCCATAGAATTTATTATTGTTATTAACAGAGCGGAAAGTGCACATGCAAAGTTGAAGAGACAACTCAGTTCGAGTCAACTTAACTTTGAGAGATCGTGAGAAACTATTCACGTCTTATTAAAGCTGGAGCACACAGGGATTAAGGCATTTTTTGAAAAGAGTCTATGTTTTATTCAACAAAGGTTCATGCATCCGGAGTTGAGTGAGTTAGTAGGTTTTGTTTATATAAAATCTTTGAGTGTAATTGTGTATGAGTCAAAAAGGTAAATTCAATTTATTTATTGCATATACATACATGGCCTACATAGTTAACATTGTAATTTATTTTAAAACAGGTTAGAGACAGATGGGGCATGTGGTTGTGCTATTCATCAAACCCACCAATTACCATGTGCATATGAAATTGCAGAGTATAAAGATCGTGGTGTACCAATCCAACTTGATGTCGTGCATTCACATTGAAGAAAATAGATCTCATCAATATAGGAAAGATTAGTCAAGGCACAACTTCACCAGTAAAGTCACAATTACAAAAATTCAATATGTGGTATGAACAACAAGATGACAAAAAGAAGAGACAAGTTCACATGACACTGGAGGAGCTAATGAACTCTAGTTCTACTACACTTACTGAACTAAAAGATAAGTTGAAGACCAAAGGGAGACCGTGAAAAATTGACACTTCTACTCTTCGTTTGCCATCTGCATTTGAGATTGCTGAGGCTGCCCTTGCCTATTCTGGTTATGATAGTCAGTCACCAATGCCTACAAATGGCAAGATTGACCTCCACTGCTCCACCTATAAAAAAACAAAAACAAAAAACCAGAGGAAAGCCTCACTGCCTCACTAAAAAGAAAATTTTAGAAGAGTACCATTGAATTTGTTTTTTTTAAGCGTAATTAAAGCACATTGAGTTTGTTTGCTTACTGTCCTTAGGAACATGGATCCCCTTTTCTAATGTGAGACTTTAAAAGCACAACGAGTTCTAATACAAACATTCCAAAATTAATTGAAACAACCAAAGTACCATGAGTTCTAAACATACAAAAGTTAATCAAAACAACCAAAGTACCATGAGTTCTAATACAAACATGCTGACAATTCAGTTAACCATGACAACGTTAATATGTTATGGTAGACCGTATGTTTGTACCGTCTAAAATCTGCTACAAGGTCTCAACTGCTTGATAAAATTGAGTAGGTCGTGTACGCAAATGCAACTATTTCCTTTAATACCATGACCGACCTAATAAAGGACAACATACGCTCGTCACGCTCCTGTAATGAATTTGAATTCAATGCTTTAGTAAAATTTACAAAATTGAAAAAGTGGAAGTCATAAAAAATTTATAATTTTACCTAATAATATCTACTTTGCATTGAGGCAAATGGGTCAAATGCAACTCCATAATTAACATTCTGGACAAATAGATATCCCACGTTGAGGTACCACTCTAAGTACCCAGACACAGTATTTGATGGTCTCCTCATTGGTACACTACGGTTTGCCCCTGCCAACATGTGGTTCTCCCAATTGTCCCACATTCCCCCTAGGTAATAATTATATGAATTGGCATACTACCAGTTATGGTATGAGCACTTATTATGGGGGAAATCATCTACACTAGACCAAACTACCTAAGAACCTACTCAGGATGGTAGGGCTCAACAACATCACAACATCTGAGCATCCTTAAGAAGAATGCAACAACTGGAAATGGGTGGTCTTCTCTCGGAATTTGCTCCCAAGTCACTTCTCTGAACTCTACCAAAAGATTTATTGCTGCTACAAGGTATACTACTAACGTAGGATTAGTACACTTTTTGTACTTTCCAGCAATCTACTTTAGAACTA